GTTACAAGCAAGACCTCATTCGACGCTGTAACTGCTTTCTACACGGAGCGCGAAGCCTGTAGTACCATCTACGCGATGCTTCTCGGTCTTCCTCCGTCAAAACAAGATAAGTCGATTGGCATCGAGCTACCCGTGACCGTCGCCCCATCACTGAACGGAAGTCAGAATGCAGCGCTTACAGCTTCGATGAAACATTCATTGACGTTCATCTGGGGCCCTCCGGGTACAGGAAAGACTCATACAATCGTCGTCATTATTACCCAGTTGCTGGAAAAATTGCCCAAATTACGATTCCTCGTTACTGCGCCAACACATAATGCGGTGGATAATATGTTGAGGAGGTTCGTGGCCTACCCTGAAGCGAAGAATGGTGGCATTGTCCCTGTTCGGGTATCGACGCAGGTAAGTGCGGTCACCTCACAGGTAATAGTTGTACTCACATCATAACAAGCTTTCCAAAGTCGCTCAGGACTTACGTACATACACGTGTGACGCCATGGTCGGCAAAGATCTAAGTGCGAACTTCCCAGCTAGGCGTAAGGCGCAAAAGCGGATCAAAGAGGCCCGTCTCGTGTTTACTACGTGCACTGGAGCTGCATTAGGTTTGCTTCGTAATGAGGCTTTCGATGTCGTTATCATTGACGAAGCCTCACAGCTTACTGAGCCCGCAACCCTGGTGCCTCTTGTCAAAGGGTGTTCGCGTGCGATATTAGTTGGAGATCATGTCCAGCTTCGCGCCACGGTTCAACAAACTGCTGTAGTAACCGGTTATGACGTCTCACTCTTTGAGCGCCATTACAATCTAGCACCGAGAGAAGGTGTCGCAAAAGTAATGCTTGACACGCAGTATCGCATGCATCGCTCCATCTGCGAATTCAGTTCCTCCGAGTTCTACGACGGCAAACTCCACACTGCTGTAGCTGACAACGCGCGTCCGCTGCCTCCTTCGCTCTTCCCCTGGCCTAAGACAAATCGTATGGTTTGGGTCGAATGCGCTGCACCTGAAGACCTTTTCCAGCAATCCAAGTCGAATGCTGGCCAAGGCGAGGTCTGCAAACGTATCATTCAGCTTCTGAAGGCATCACCGGCATCTAGTGGCTCGACTACAAATCCAAAGGACTCCATCGCAACCCCTACTATCGCAATGTTGACACCCTACACTCGTCAGAAGACTCTGCTTACAACAACAATTCCGAATGCTGAAGTCTACTCCATCGATAGCTTCCAGGGTCGTGAGGCTGACGTCATCGTGTTTGTTACCGTTCGGTGCAACGCTCATTACGCTTTGGGATTTCTGGATGACATGCGACGGCTGAATGTGGTCATGACGAGGGCGAAAGCTGGTGTTGTGTTGGTTGGCCACAAGAACACGTTGACAGGTGTAGGGGCAGCGGAGACTGTAGACGATAGCAAGCTGGTTTGGAGGAGATTACTAGAGCGGTGCGAGGTTGTGGAGTTGCCAGCTCAGACCGAGGACAGTGGTTCCACTCACTGATGTACAGTGTCGCACATCACTTTGTCCTCTATATCGAAAGCCTCGGTCTCGGATCATAGCCGCCGACCGCTATCCTCGGGACTGTTACCTGTCAAGTTGCAAATGTTCATGACTTGCACGCGATGCAGCATTGCACTTCTAATGCATCCATTACATAAGGCAATCCGAGACGACCCACAATGGCAGCCGGGAACCCGACGCGGCATCGGCAATCATGCCGGCCAAACATGCCGTTCCATTCCCATTGCCGCAACCAAGTTCACCCGTGTTGCAATGACCACCTCATCCCGGTGCCGCGCCTCAACGTTGAGCCTCATGCTTCGCTGTGCCTGCACTTTGTTCAAGCATGCGAATCCTTCCAAGTGTTCACCCGGCTTGTTTTTGCAAGGTCCCAGTCCCGACGGGACGAATCATCAGATTACTGCCAAGGCCCCATATTACTTCTATCTTCGTGTGTCACAAGGACTATAACTCGGCCTCGTCTGCTCGGTGACATCCTCGTACTCGACTGTCAAGTGTTGCGTTCGCGTAATGCCAGAGTTTGGCTCCACTTTACTCTCCTCGCTACCATTCCGAAAGACCGGGCTCAAGATACTGTCTTGGCTATCGTGGCCCAGGGTTGTTTCAGATACGCCCGACTTCCCATGCTGCTTGGCTGACCGAAGAGTCTTGCTCCCGATTGTAGCGAGCTTCACACCCGACCGACTACGCGATCTATATCCACTCGGACCTTGCTCACCGCGTGAGCTACCAAAGATCCCCCGGCCAAAGATGCGGTCGAATAATGGCTGCAAAGTCGGTATGCAGGCGCCGATGATGATAGAGTTTCCCTCGATACTGGTCCAGATAGTGATGTCGGCCGTATCGTCTGTATCGCGTTATTAGCATGGCTGATTCAACACCGAATGCGAGTCTACTCACAGCTGAAGTCAGGGCTCGCAAGCGCTGGAAGTCGAGTCGACTTGTACACAGCTACGGCTGCCGCACTGTTCCAAGTGTGAGCGGCAGTTCCAAAACAAGCATACGCGAGCTTACATAGAACCCAGTCCCAGCGCGGCACTCAAGGCTATCTTCTTCTTGAGGTTGATTTGTAGTCCATATAGAACAACGGCGGGATATATCGCGAGGTAGAGGTCCACGACGGCGGAGATGGCTTCGCGACGGTCAGTCATGTACTAGGTTTACTGGCTGTGAACTTACTTCCAGCTACGATGGCGTAGTAGATCAGGATCCATGGGCTCCAGCAAGTACCCTGGACGGAAAAGTCCCACTGCGACCGAGACGGCGTACACTGTGCGAAGATGATGATGACACAGCCAAACAGAATCAACAAACAACCACCGGTCATAGCCCACAGGAATATCCTATGTTTCCGGCTAGGGTTGGTGATTCTCGTCAGGAGAGCGACAACGGCCAGCTTAGGGATTCCGAACGAGAATATACCGGGAGGGAAGCCCGCAAGGGTGTACAATATAGCACCAGATTTTTGCTCGTCGCTGAGTACGGAGAAATGTCGTCCGTTTCCAGCTTGTACGGCTGCTATCGTGAGGCCAAGCATGATGTAGCCACATATCTACACGACGCGTCAGCATGTGAGCTAGTGAGAAGATTATGGAGAAAGTACTCACCATCGAGACTATGATCAGCCAGTCGTCGAGGCCCAGTCTTGATAAGATTTTGACTCTAACATAGAGTCTGGCCGCAACGAAAACGGTCGCTACCGTCGTCAACGAGATGCATACCGCCAAAACCGTTGGACCCTTGGTTTGTTGGGCAAAACCTTCGGAAAGATCTTGCGGTACTGCCATATTGCAACAAGGCTAGGTGTGGAACCAAATGATGAGGGAAAAGTTACAGTGCTGGAGCCTAGGTTCAGTTTGATATAAGCTCGACTGGACATCAGACTCTCTGCTTATCCCCTGCGCATGCCTGCAAAAGCATTATCGCCCTCTGACCACCAACACCAGGGGTCGTAAGAGTTCGTGCGCAGTTTCGTCATGTAGCGATGCGGCTTAGACCTGGGAGCTTTCAGAAGTTCGCACCGCCCCTGGTGCCGGGCATGGTTTCCGGAACGACTGTACTTTTTCAGAAAGATGACGATCGTGTGTCAGTCTACGGACTATCTTCTGAACTGGGAAGCGCGAGAGTAATCATTTCCATGCAGCGCGGGCGACGCCAGGCCCACACGTGCTCGCACGTACATCGGATGCATAGGCCCGTCAAAAGAATCGACTGAACGGGTGGCCCAACCCAATCATAGCCATTCCGGTCAGAAATGTCTTCTAATAGACTGCATACAGCCTTGAAGTAAGGTCTACGAAAGCAGTTCGGATATGCATTCGCGCATGGGTCTATCTGACTTCCGGTGGACAGGGTACCTGCTCCTGTCGCCAACTTGCTCAGCCAGCGGTAAGCAGACTTCCTGCCAATGACAGGGATGAAGGACGTTGTCATGCAGCCCGCTCGGCTCATCGATTGATCAACGGGCCTCCCGTCTGCGGGAGTCGATAACATGATCTTGGGAAGCAACAAGAGAAGCAACTAATATCGCAATCTGTGTTGCCTTGGGGTTTCCGATCTTTTCATTCTATACTCATGGAGACTACGCCGCATCTGCCCACATACATCCTTCACATCCTTCCACAGGGTGCGTCTCACAGCAGCTGTAGGATCATCGATGGAGTGACTATTTGTGGTGCCTGGATGAGCTGATTGGTCTCCACTTAGCGACGGTTGCGTTGCCGATGCCGCACTAATGTGGCTGTTTAGCCGGCCTGCCGCTCAGCCGCTCTTTCGGGTCCAAAGCCACGGGCCGTGTGGGGGTTTCGGCCTGCCACTGACTCTTTTCGAGCCCCATTCCCCACACTCACACCACTCGCGACAACGGTTCCCCTTTTCAAGATCGCGACATTCTATTGGTGTTCGTCTCATTCCATTTTGAAGCTCATGAATGATCAGAACGTTCCAATGAGTAAGTCGAGCGAAGGGATACTAGATTGCAACCGCAAGGCTGCTCTATTTACAGAGCACCACCTTTACAAATGTTGGTTATAGCTGATCAGAGGTCCTTCAAGTGGGGGCCGGTCTCCAGCAGGCCATCATTCGAGTGCCAAGACGGACGATGGTATCGATGTGGAAGTCAGGCCCACTGACTTGGGTGTGAATGCTCCGCGGATTCATCGTCCTTCACTTGAAGCTTGTCATGCTGCGCCGTTTTCCGCCTCACGGTATTCTTCTCGCCTGCTGTTGCCAAAACATCCTTCCCGTCTGATAACACGCCGCCATGAGTCGCAAGCCGCTGACCACACCGGCAATGCTGCTGTCCATCTCTGTGGAGACTCGGGAGTTGGACTGAAGGGATTGACTTGCAGTTATAAGAGAGAAACTTGCCAGCTGTACATCCAGCAGTGCCGTGAATCCTTTCACCTTCAACCCGTTTTACCGCCCAATTACTTTCCTCTTACCCCTTGCTCGTTACTTTTGAACGTGTCAGAACCTCGCAAACATGCTGGTCGATCTCGGCATTGCAGTGCGTGCGAACGACCCAAGCGCCGTTCCATGCCTACTGGAGAAGCTGTCGGAATTCGGGGGCAAACCCTCTGTTGATCACAATGACACTCGCATGGCAATGCTTTCGCAGGCTAAAGCGCTCGTCAGAGCGCTGCAGACTCCCCGTGAGACCATGATCGAGCAGAACTGGGCCCAGGTATGTGCTAGATCTTTGTAGAGGTTTCTGTATCTAAGTGGTGTCACTAGCCCGGCTGCCATACCGCCATCACCACCTGCTATAATGCAGGTGTGTTTGGTGTACTTGGAGACAAACCAATGAAGGTGGATGACATTGCGAACAAGCTTGGAAAGCCTCGCGAACTGTTGGGTAAGCTTGCATACTAGCGAATCGTTCCGTGACCTCGCTTACACTGGTAGCTCGCTTGATGAGGCACATTGCAGCCATGGGTTACATCACCGAGACCGACAGTGATGAATACATGGCAACAAACTTCTCGAAGGCATTAACTATCCCTATCATTGGAGATGGCTATCCAGCCCTGTAAGTGTTCTCGGTGCTTGAGACGTTGCTAAACTAAGTACGGTGCTGATCAAATCAGTGGCGGTGGAGCCCACCAGTCTTGCAGCAAGTTCTCGGAGTACTTGCAGAAGAACGACTACCAGCTCACCTCAGACATAACCAACGGGCCGTATCAGTATGCTTTCAATACTGAGCTTGACATGTTCCGGTATCTGGATACACACCCGCCCTTGAGTCAGCAATTCAACAACCACATGGGTGGCTATCGTCAGGGTCGACCAAGCTGGATGGACTCTAACTTCTATCCTGTACAGGAGCAGCTGATAGACGGTATGGACAACTCTAAAGACGCCGTCCTGTTGGTAGACATTGGCGGCGGTTACGGTCAGGACATCCAAGAATTCAGGTATGCTGCCACAAGGCTTAGTCCAGATACGTATGCTTACGACACATTTAGATCGAAGTACCCTCAAGTACCCGGCCGGCTTGTATTGCAGGATCGACCTTCCGTCATCGATGGAATTGAGCGACTGGATCCCAGCATCGAACGTATGGAGTATGACTTTCACACTGAGCAACCATTGAAAGGTACGTCTGGCAGCTGCAGAGCTACCCGTCAGACGCTAATCAACCCCCAGCAGCGAAAGCATACTACATGCACTCCGTGTTGCACGACTGGCCCGACGACGTGTGTAAGAGCATCTTGAAGCAAGTTGCTGGCGCCATGAAGAAAGGCTACAGCAAACTGCTTATCAACGAAAACGTCATTCCGGACAAGGGCGCTGACTGGCAAGCCACTGCTTTGGATATGATGATGATCACCCTTTTCTCTTCGAAGGAGCGTACGTATTCGCAATGGAGCCAGCTGTTGGAGTCGCCGGAACTTGGATTGAAGATCGTTCGTGTCTGGACCGTGAAGCACTCGCAAGAGAGCTTGATCGAATGCGAGCTAGTTTGAGTCTTCATCGGCGGAGATGAAATCGCTTCAGAAGCTTGTCAAAAAGAATAAAAGTTGTATACCTTACCTCCCTTCTGCTAAGTTGCGTTGCTTTGAGGTTGCCGACGTAGGCCGAAGCGGTGACCTATCGACAGTAAAGCGGTGACCTATCGAATTCACTATCTCGGACTAGTTCATGTATTGAGGTAAGCATTGTGCCTTCCAACTCTCCAGATCGTAATTTCCACTGCGAAACCTCTTCGATAACTCACCTTAACAACCAACGACTTCACCATGGCGTGCGGAGGAGGTTGCTGTGGCCCTAAGAATGCGGCAGCGATATCTACCGCGAAATCAGATGTCGCTTCTGCAGCCAACGTTGAGCAGTCAACAGAGACATCGAGCAGCGCGATGGTGAATAGCCAGCCCGGAGTGAATGCAACACTCGCTTCTTCTAGTTCTGAGTCTACTGCCTCTCGCGCTAGCGTCAACAACCTCGAGGATGCGACAACAAAGCCAAAGAGTTCGTGCTGCTCATCTTCAACAACTCCGCAATCGAAAGAAGCAAAGGCACCTTGTGCTTCAACACAGCCAGCGGATGAGGCCAAGCCGAGCATGTCGTGCTGCTCAACATCGGCACCTGAGAACACAACGCCATCCAGCTCATGCTGTGAACCATCAGTTCTTCAAGATTCGAAAGCATCCAAGTCTTGCTGCTCTTCATCAGCACCCGAAGAGCAAAAGTCGACAGACTCCTGCGGTTCACCATCGGAAATTGTAGCCTTGAAGCCGAAGGGCTCATGTTGCTCATCGTCGGCACCCGCGAAGCCGAAGCCGACGACCTCATGCTGTACATCGTCTACGCCGGTGAAATCCGAGACGAGAGGGTGTGGCAGCAGCAGCTCGAACAAAACGGTTGCACCAATTTCCTGCATTGGCAAGACCAAAGATGACTGCTGCGCAAACGATAGCAAAAGCATCTCTGGAGAAACATGTACCAGCAGCTGTTGCGCAATCGATAACACTGACGGTGTGAAGACTGCCATATCCCGACCAAAGTCCTCCTGCTGCACATCGGCACCCAAGGAGTGTTCAAACCCCCAACCAGCATCTTGCTGTCCGCCGAAAGACGCGTCGAAATGCTGCAGCAACAAGAAAGCGGCTGTGGTGAACACCACCGAGATAGCAGGCGACAACACCGACATCGAAAAAGGCGGCGTCGTACGCGAACACGTGGCCATCAGCGTCTCAGGCATGACCTGCACAGGATGCGAGACAAAACTCCAGCGAACCCTCGGCAGTCTGAACTACGTCAGCAAACTGCAGACCAGCCTCGTCCTCGCGCGCGTCGAGCTAGACATCAACACCAACCTCGCGACCGCCGACGATGTCGTCAAACACCTGCACCGCACAACCGAATTCAAATGCGAGATTGTGTCGAACCAAGGCTGTAGTCTGGATCTCGTCTGCTCGGGTGACCCTTCAGCTTGGATCAATGGACAGTGGCCGGAGGGAGTGCTGGATGTGCGTCGCCTGGGCAAACAAACTATACGCGTGGACTACGATGCGAAGATAATAGGGGCGAGGGATTTGATGGGCGACGAGTGGAGCCAGTCGCTGCAACTTGCACCACCGTGTCCTGATTCTTCCTTGGAAGCTGGTAGCAGACACGTCCGCAACATGGGCTTGTTGACATTGCTTTCTGCCATCTTGACCATTCCCGTGTTGGTCATGGCATGGGCTCCTCTCCCCGAGCGCGAGATCGCGTATGGCTCTGCGTCGCTTGCACTTGCAACTATCGTTCAAGTTGTAATCGCCGGACCTTTCTATCCGAAGGCTCTCAAGGCTTTGGTCTTCTCGAAGGTCATTGAGATGGATCTGCTCATCGTCCTGAGTACAAGCGCCGCGTACATTTTCTCAGTTGTTTCCTTTGGCTTCTTGGTCAGTGGAAAACCTCTATCGACGGGCGAGTTCTTCGAGACGAGTACACTGCTGGTCACTCTTATCATGGTCGGCCGTTGGGTGGCGTCGCTGGCGCGCCAAAAGGCGGCAGAGTCCATCAGCATCCGTTCCCTGCAAACTCCTACTGCCTTACTAGTCGACGATGCAGAAGAGCGAGAGATCGATGCCAGGCTGCTGCAATACGGAGATATTTTCAAGGTTGCACCAGACTCGCGCATCCCCACGGACGGTACCGTCATCTCCGGCTCTTCAGAGATCGACGAGTCAATGTTGACAGGCGAAGCCCAACCCGCAGAGAAGCACGCCAGATCCGCAGTCATCGCTGGTACAATCAACGGAAGCGGAACGCTCACCGTGCGCCTCACCCGATTACCTGGCGACAACACCATCACGACTATCGCAGGCATGGTTGACGAAGCAAAGCTTTCCAAGCCCAAGATCCAAGAGATTGCCGATACTGTAGCCAGCTACTTCGTTCCCGTTGTAGTCGCCCTGACAATCATCACGTTCGTCATCTGGGTCGCCATCGGCGTCGCTATACGGCATCAATCAGGCTCCGAAGCGACCATCGAAGCCATAACATATGCCATCACAGTCTTGATCGTCTCATGTCCCTGCGCCATCGGCCTCGCGGTCCCCATGGTCATCGTCATCGCATCCGGTGTCGCGGCGAAACGGGGTGTTGTCTTCAAGACAGCGGGCAGCATCGAAGTCGCATACAAAACCACGGATGTAGTGTTCGACAAGACTGGTACGTTGACGGCAGGGAAGCTGGCAGTGGTGCGGGAGGAGTATGCGGAGGTGGGCGGGGAAGCGAAGGCTCTCTTGCTGGGTCTGCTGCAGAACATTAAACATCCCGTCTCGGCAGCCATCGCCACACATCTCGCGTCGCAGGGATCGTCTGCTTTAACGGTACCGGATGCTAAAGTCGTGACTGGCAAAGGTGTCGAAGGAACGATTAATGGCCAGAAGCTGCGCGCCGGTAACTCGAGATGGCTCGAGCTGTCCGACGATCCGCGCGTCCGTTCCATGCTATCCGAAGGCCTCACCACGGTTTGCTTCACCGTCGACAACGCGCTCGTAGCCGTTTTCGGTCTACAAGACACGCTACGACCTGATGCAGCCTCTACTATCGATCATCTCCGACGCAGCGGTATCAGTGTCCACATCCTATCTGGCGATGACGACGGCGCTGTCAAAGCCATTGCCGCGCAGCTCAACGTCTCGGAACACACCGTCCGCTCTCGTTGCTCGCCGGCGGACAAGCAGACGTACATCAAGGATCTGCTCGCAACACCTTCTACAACACCATCAACTGGCAAATCCCGGAAGCCGATTGTCATGTTCGTAGGCGACGGGACGAACGACGCTGTTGCTCTCGCGCAAGCTACGATCGGCGTCCATGTCTCAAGCGGAACTGATATCGCGCAATCCGCTGCCGATGTTGTGCTCGTCCGTCCTAGCCTTTCGGGTGTGCTGAATATCATCAATGTGAGTAGAAAGGCCATACACAGGGTTGCATTCAACTTTGGATGGAGCTTCGTTTACAATACTTTCGCTGTTTTGTTGGGCGCGGGCGCTTTCGTGCATGCGAGGATACCGCCGGAGTTTGCTGGTTTGGGAGAGCTGGTCAGTGTACTGCCGGTAGTGTTGGCGGCAGTCTTGTTGAAATGGTCGAAAGTATGAGCATGTGCTTCCTCGCTCATTGTGCAAACAATCCCGACGGCTCTCACTTAGTCTAGCTACAACGATAAAATACTTTGAAAGAATCATAACACTATCAGTCATGGTCCTCGGGTCTTAGGTAGACATTAATTCGTAATCCAGTACTGAAGTAAACTACTTAAACACGTGGAGTTTAACAGGGTATCATGCAACTAATCAACTGTCTCCCCAACACCAAATCTCTCTAGCTCAAGGCAAAAGCTTTTGCTCGAACTCATGTCGCTCGCGGTACTTAGCCAGAGCGATTGGAACCTCTCCACTGTACCCCAGCTCGCCCTGCGCCTTCTCCAACTTCCTAGTCACTTTGCCGACAAGCCGAGCGATCCAACGATCATTGGCCATGGCGTGTACAGTGTTCTGGCCAGCTTTGCGCATGCCCACCATGGTCTTGTTCGACGCATCCTTGAAGCCAGAGTCCACCTTTTTTAGGAATGCCTTGAAGCCATTGTCGTCATTGGCATTCAGTGTGGTCCCTGAAACCTCGCTGCTGTTGGTGTTGACTGATGCAAGACTACTAGCTTCGCTATCAGATGTAGTGACACGCCTCAGCTCGCGAAGGACCTTGGCCTCCTCGAAGTCCTTATCCGACTCGATGACCTTGGTGGCTTTAACAATTGCGGCGACAAAGTTAAGAAGGTCTTGGTGGAACTGTGCCGGGAGATGGGCATGTGCGTTGACATGCATAGAAGCCTCGTCTCTCTTCAGCTTTCCGAGCTCTTTAAGATCCCGGATCTGCTTCGGAGTAGCCTCGGCTTCTTTTATGGCAGATTCCATCTCAAGCAGGTCGAAGTCACTCTTCTTCTCCGGGAAGATGTGCTCATGGTGGGGAAACAGGAATGTGGGAATCGTGAGTACAGCATCCGCACCTCCCAACCGCACAACTTGCTTAAGTTCGACGGCATCCGGAAGAATTCTGTAAGCCATGACATCGGAGATCTTGAAGTGGGTCGTGATGTTGTAATTGGTGTTGATGGGGAAGTGGGCTTCGCTAGCAATCGGGCCCAATTCCACAGCGAAATTGGCATCTGCGCACCAGGCTGATATCCGCGCTTCCAATCTACGAATCTCGGCATCTTGGGCTGAGTAATGCTTGAAGAAATATTTTTGCATCAAGACAGTGAACCACTTTCCTGAGCCAGCTGCCGTGACGGACTTGAACTTGACAGGATGGAAGTAGCAGATGGGGCTGAGCATCAAGCGGTAGAGGAAGGGTAACCGATGTAAGAATTTCTTTACATTTGGGTACGATGTTTTGCGAAGAGTGGAGACTCTGATCGATTTGGTCGGTGGGTGAGGTATCGATGGTTGCCCGTGGATCTGGGTACAAATCGCTGCCCGGAAATCATCGAGGTTTTCAATATCCAAGCGCACTCCCGGTTCTTCTTTTGACTTCTTCGTGTTTTTTGTGTCCTTTTCGTCGTCGGTCAAGCCAGCCTCCGCTCGTGCCTTCGATGCCTCTACCAATCCCTCCTTTGCTTTTGTAATGGCGCTTGTGTCGTTGATATAGCGTACCAGCTCTTTGTACTTTGTGTGGGCGCGCTCCTCATCTGGTGAGATCTTCTTGACAGATGAGAATGCGGATTTGGTGTCTTCAGCCTCAGTCGGTATTTTTCCCGCCGTAAGGTTTCGGACCATTTCAGCCGGGCGGCCGTTGGCGTTGCCTTTCATCGTTGCCGCTCTGAGGATGGCAGTGTTGGTGACGACTACAGATTCATCGTCATCTGGTTCTGGAACGCCGTACTGTACGTCTCCAAAGGTGACTTCCCAATCCCCACCCTTCACATTCGCATACACATCGTCGACAGTTATCTCGCGGAAGAGGGGTACGACGACTTTGTCGACTTGGATGCCGAGTTCAATGTCGTCAGCGAGCTTTATCCCGGCTTCAACTCCATGAGCAACAAGTGTCATTGTGGAGAGTGAGAGCGTGACTCCCCGGACGACGAAAAGTCCCTTGACTTCGGTGTCAATTTCAAGAGCAGGCAGGTCGAAGAAGGCTATCTGATCGTTGATAAAGTGCAGGTCTCGTAGGAAAGTCTTTCGCAGCGTGCGGCGCGCCAGTGCAGCAGGTGCTTCGAATTGGAAGAGACAGGTGATGAAGAGTACAGGCCAGCAGAGGGACCAGAATACCCAGTACAGAAGCCATGATGTCGCGCATACTGCGTAGATGAAGTTGACAGTTGCAAATATGGTCCAGACGGGAACAAAGGGTAAGATACGATGGCCATAAGCCTCGCCTAGGAGGATGGCGTAGACAAGTATGGGCGCTCCAGAGATAACCCATCGTAACGGCCAGGAGAGAGTAAAGGCTGCCAAGAGAGTGGCAGCGAGAAAGGCATCCGGTATTAGTCTACTGGTAAGCTCGCGTTTGCGTTCTGGCTCAAGCGAAGGCCCAGGTGCAGTCGGCGAAGGGACAGGTTTTCGCTTGGAAGCAGCCGGCGCTTCACGTCTCGGGGGTGAATCCATGCCTTTGAGGCTCCAGAGGGTAGAGGGGTAATGTCAAAGGGAGTAGAGGTTCCGAGGGAGAGGATGCATCGTGTTTGTGGAAAATGACCTAGTGCAGGCGCGGTCATTCAAGCCCTGGAGCAACTCGGCTCTGTTGGTGTGACGTCATGTCCACTGCCGTGTTCGGACTACCCCCGCACCCAAAGCAGAAGGAACAATCTGAGCCAGACCTGATTTGTCGCAGGAGAGGGCATGATGGCTGCCGCGGTTGGCCAAGACGTGTCTGTATAACCGTTGGATCACCGCTTCCACCTGTCGATCGCCTGTCCTGAAGCCCAGGTTTCCATGTATTGAACGGTGACGTAAACGCGCTAGTGGCTCATTGGTCACATCTGCAGGAACGAGGTTTGCAATGAAGGGATTAAACAGGTCTCTACCTCCCGAAGATGATTTCATTCGGGTTCTATCATGTACGGCCTGGCGGGATTCCAGACCAGGTCCCATTCGAGAACCACGTACCCGCACTCGTGAAGTCGCTATATTCTACGTTGCCAAACAGTTTATAATTGATGAACGCAAACCTGAAGTACTCATCCTTCGCATCATCCGAACGACTCCAGGTGAAGTTTCCTGTGTCGCTTCCACCAATGCCCCGATACCTTTCCACATCGTTGACCACCACGCTGACGCCTTGATATCCGCTGAGTAGAGTCTCCCATGCGAATGTAATGCTCGAACGATTCACGACTAGCTCCAGAATACCTGGGATGCCAGATCCGAGCTGGCCATCCCCTCTCAGCGCTGCGGCCGTCTGTAGTATAGAATCGAAATCCCATCGTGCAATACCGTTGACGAAGAGTCCAACGAGCAGGCCTTGACACAGCAAGCTCACGCGTGTCTGCAGCGCAGTACCTGGAAGGAGTAGGAGAGCGATTATGTAGTGGTGTATCCTAAGTGTAAGCTTCGGCATAGCTGCAAGGATACCCAGCCCAAGGCCCAATGTAGCGTATAGTGCAAGATAGCGTGGCAGTCGCCCTTCCTTACGGAAACACCATGCTTGGTACAAAACGACGGCAAACAAAATCAGCACGATGATTACTAATGCTGTGATAGCACCAGGCTGTTGTCGGATGTCGTTTCCTGTAAGGCGCTGTATGGGTATACGTTCAAATGTATATTTACTCAGTGCGCCAACCCAGGCACCGCCTATCCAGAGTATGGTCTTTTCGATTTGCGCCCTGCAATTACGCAGAGACTTGCGAACGCTGAACTGATAGAAGAGGGCAGCAGCCAATGCCGCAGGCAAGAAGCGGCCAAGTGTTGTAGAGGCCAAGGAGGCGTAGTTTGAGTACGAGGGCGGATCTGATGCCATGCCGGTCTGGAAGAACAGAATCGTAAAGACGGGCGCAAAGAACGTCGCAGGGCTCGTGGTGAAGATGCCGAACAGAGCAGTGAAGATGGTCGAGAGGATCAGCAGATTCCAGCGCGGGTCTTCGCATTGGGCCGAAGCCTCACCAAAGGTAAAGGACATTGGAAAGTACGAGTCGAAGCCAATGCTGCTGATGCCATGTCGTGTCACAGCGCCGAAGCTGTCGCGCTCTCCTACCAAGGAGAGAACACCGCAACCGCCGCTGGCATCGCTGATTACTCCAGCGTGGATGGCCGCCGAGCATATGAACGAGTCCCCGCGATATACGAGCCCATCGCCCTGGGAATCCGGCGTGCCGCCAATCACCAGGGATCGATAGTTTATAACCTGCGGACCGATTGCACGAGGGTTTAGGACTTGGGCGCTCAAGCAACCGGCGGGGCAGACGAAGGCGAACGAGGCGTTGGAGAAGGGGAGGCAGTTGCGGCCGTCGGGTCCGCAGCTCTCTGTAGAAGGCCTGGCGACGATCAGTACAGTCATCACAGCTGCGAGTACAAGAGGAGAGGCCCTACCACAGGTTGTTGATACACGACAGCTTGACAGGCGCCCCTAACCCTCCGATGTCAGACGGAAGCCCGCCGTCACTGATGACTACCGCGAAGACAACGATCCACACAATGCATGCCGCCGCATACACGCAGATGCGCATCCATTCCGGCAGCCGCGCGAGCAGACGCACAGGAAGCGTCTGCCAGCGCTCAAGAAAAGGCGTGATCGTGTATCTGCTCGGAGGCTTCGGCCCTTTGACCCAGTCGACAACGTTGCGGCTCCAGCGAGCGACGGGCGCCGGCGTGCGCGCGCTGAACCTTTTCCTCCATGGCGGGGTGACTTCTAAATTCTGACCATTCGGTGCAACGCGGTCGCGGGAAGGGTCGCGTTTGGTCCCATGCTCGAGGTCCATGGTTTCCGGCACCGCGCGCTCGGGCGTGTCGCGTGCGGCCATTCGGGGGGTACACGTGCGAAAAGAACGACGACAGCGGCTATGTACTCGCGATTATCATGTTGCAGAACTGCCAGAATACGAACAATAAGTATGCGACAAGGGAATGTCGACCTAGACTGAGGTGGCGCACGGCAAGCATCATCGACTCGGACGGCTGCTGGATTGATCCACTTCGCCGCGCCCGAGGCCTCGAAAGGCTGGTTCCGATGCACCCGCGAGCTAAACACCCAGTGGTCCTCTTGCTCTACAACCCCATCCCGGATGCTAGAATACCTCTGAATTACACCTCGTTGTGTCAGGCCGGATACAAGTGCCGAAGCCAGGCACAGCCACGCTCGTTGCATGAGTCTGCCGAGTCGAAGCTGAGCATGCCTCACATTGGCACCGTCGAAAATGTCGCGACAATTCCATAATGAGCAAGGCCATCATTACTGTTTCTGGTCGCGAGCAAAAGACGAATATTTTAGAACACTCTCCATGGCAAGAATCATCAATGCGCTGCTGTTTTATCCAGAGTACAAGTTATCTGTAGATCTGACCTATATGAGCTGACAGCAAGGCTCCCGTTCCTTTTCTTGTATCATCAACCGGACGGCCTCCATCAACTAGATACGTACCACGCGGCCATCGCGGTGGCATCGATTGTTCAGACCGGTCTCGAAGTTCCCGCCGCATGCGCTACGTTTCGAGTGTCGACACAAACTTTGGCGTCCTCTGCGAAACAAGTGCACGTTTGGAGGAACCCCATGAAGCGGATACAATCCCCCGAAAACCATAGCTGGTGCACCACATGGTCTCAAATAGGCGACAGATCTCCCTGGTACAGGGATCGTGCTGGTCATGTTTGGTACTGAAAAGTCGCGGTGGGCGTTCCCTTGACCAACCGCATCTCGTGGTAGCAGCCCACACCGAAACGTTCACCCGCTTCAGCACGTTTTTGGCATCTGGTGCTTTTTGTATGGAACCACTAATAGCCGGCTGGGGTATGGCACCCGCGTTACTGCCATTTCAATATCCTCGTGTGCTGTGAATCTTCCTCGCCTCTATGGGAATCTTATCTCGCAATGGCTGCACCGAGCAGACCATATGATACCCCACCGGTGCTGGTACGCCGTAATAATCCAAGGATGGCAGCTACGCCCATCGTAGTCGAGGGCAAGAGTGAGGAGGATATGGACATGGACTTGGGGACTGGCGGGACGAGATCCCAACAATCGGATACGAGCAAGAACGAAACTCCGGAAGGTGCACCACCAATGCCATCGTCACGGTCACTGGACTCTCTTATGGGTACACAGGGTGTACTCCCATCGCAGTCTGAACAGCTCTCAACACTGGCCGTACCAACGCCTACCGATGGCCAGGGATCAACACTTCAAGCTTTCACCGCCCCTTCGTTATCGATGAATGCCACCTCGACCTTCTCTCTTGACTTTGTAGCATCTACCATCCGGCCAACCCTTACTGTGCAAGCAGATGCTGTCGCGATGAACGAGGCCATGACCATCCAACCTGCTTCAACTGCAGTCCCAGGCCTTCTAGCGGACTCTTTCGCACAGGATGAAATTGCAGCCCTTCCCGGTGTCAACCAAGACGACCCTTCATTGGGAACAGTACCTGGAATGAACCAAGGTAAGCTCTTGATGAAGAACACGCCTTGGAGACGTGCATGGAGTGTTGACTTTCATCTCTTTAGAAACTCCTGTGCTGTTGACTACACCTGTAGTGACACCTCTCGCAACCCCTGAGAGTTCGACTGCACCGTCTGCAACTTCGGCGATGACAGTGGGCAAACCCATGCCGGGAAAAAATCAACCGAAGCCCACAATGGATATTTCTGCAGTGTCATTCATGATTCTGAGCGACTCCCGTCCAACGGCTATGTCAACTACGTCGTCTTTGTCGGCAGTGAGCACAGCCACTGAATCCTCTACGAGTTCTTTCTCCCAGCCGCCGACATTGGTCATCTCGACTTCATCACCAACAGCATCCTCGACAACGACAAAGCCTTCATCGCTACCTCCAGTTCTCACTTTTGTCACCGTCACGCGAACAGCAGAAGGCAAAGAAGACATCCAGCCATCCACTCAAACTATACTGGCGCCACAAGCTGTGACTACACGACAATCCGTATCCTCGGGGCTTCGCACATTGTCCCTAGCTTCCGGATCAGCCATACCTTCCAGTCTCGCCACCGCCGTTAGTGTCGAGCCGCAGCACGGCTTGACACCCCTTGCAAGGACACTGTTCATCCTTTTTGGAGTGCTGGGTGAGTACCGCACCAGAGTCTTGCACGACGAATCTAACATGAACACAGGCTTCGTTACGATCCTTCTCGCCATCGGTGTAACCTTGATAATGCGATCGAACAGAAGGCGCGCACAAGCAGCCCGACAACAAGCTGCTGGAAGCCCCGTCAAAGACATCGAAGAATACGACGGCTACGGAAACATAACCCGCGTATCCGCCAACAGCTCAATCAAAAATTTCCTAACCGAGCCCGAAAAAGCCATTGTAAACCGCGCCGCTACGCCAGACGGAGAACCAGACGTAAGCACCCTCCAATCCCAAACCCAATACAACGACGCTAACGGTGTTCTTCAGGCAAGCACAAGACCCTCCAACGTCCTCACCGAAGCCATCAACTCCTTCATAACCAAATCGCGTCGCCTGACGTACAAAATATCGCCCTGAACCCTGTATGCAGTAACGAAGAGGTGGAATCAACACATGCTTGAACGGGTCACCAGCGCAACCTCGTACTATAATCGTTGCAGGACTTGATAATCAACTGTACATAGCATGACAAGACTGTATATACAAGATGGACATCGTTACAATAATCATACAAATTGGGTTGTGAACCTTTGATTCCAACACCACTAACTTCACGCGTCTACTGACAAACTAATCCGTAATGTGCGTAGCAAGACGACACCAAAGCCGCGCATGATACAGTGACTAGTACACGAAGCACCACACTATCACGCCACAATCAGCACCTTCGGCAAAGCCGCTCGTTCCATCCATCTGCATCCATCTGGCTAGCGGAAGTAACTAGTTTACTGCGGCGTAGCGGCGTAGTCCTTGCGGAAAGCGCTAGCGCTCGAAGTGCTTACCAGCATGAGCGTTAGTGGCTGTTAGTGCTGGGTTCGACGGACCCCACGCCGGACTTGCTACTTAGGGTAGGTTTGGGGTGGTCAGCTTGCGGGGAGTGGGAATGACCTGGGATGGGGGGTGGAGGGTATGATGGGAAAGGGTGTGGGGGCGGGAGGAATTTGTGGTGGGTTTGGGATGGGCGAGGCTGAGGGGTGGGTTTGAGGGTGTCGGAGGATCGATGCGGTGGAGGGTTGTCTTGTGGAAGTGGGATGGGGATGCATGTTGATTCGTTTAATACTTAGTTTTTGCCTGATTGCTGTAGACGCTGGAGAATGGTAGGTTTTGTCTGACTTCCACAGACTTGGCGTGCCTTGTTCTGGGGTTGGTGTCGTACGATACGGGCAGGCTAGCTACCTTGCAGCAGCCTTGTTGTAAGCGTGCAGAACGTCCTGAGTATAATAGCTTGTATGCACCTCTTTTGCTATATGTGACAAGTGATGGTAAATGAATGAGTGAGTTGCTCATCAAATTGGGAACAGAACCTAGCGATACCCAAGGCAGATGACCTTCTGGCTAAGTAGGAGCAAAGAATGCCCTATAGTAGACGTGCAAGTACACAGTCTCCTCGCCAACTTGAACATCCCCTGGCAATGGAAACTCCATCTTGTCTGTCTCTAGGAACCCTGCGTCGGACATTAGTTTGAAGAATACTTCTTCGCTTGAGTGGCGCATTTTCATTGCGATGGCAATCCTGACTTTGGGGTTTGCTCTGGAGAGTCGTGCAAGCGTTTTGACTAGTGTGGGGCTGTAATTGCAAGTCAGCAGTATTCCAGGCATGTGATGTGGGCGAGAGGAAGCATACCTGCTGTCTGGGTTGTAGGTGCAATCAGCAGCGAGAATAAGATCGAGAGGTTCTGAGCTAGACTGTACTTCACCAGGTAACTCTGCATCCCAGTCCAGTTCCATGAACGCGAGTGATGCACCTGGTGCTTTGACCGCCGAGTCGATGTTTCGCTCAACGATCTCTCTAGCCTCTGGAAGGTCGGTCAAGAGAACTTTGGAGTTGGAGACAGTTTGAGCGATTGCAATGCCAACCATCCCGCAGCCAGTGCCAAGTTCGAGGACATTCAGATGAGGTTCAGATGCAATACCATATGGTAGTAATGCTTCTGCTAGGCTGGATTTTGGATTATCCAGAGCTGTCATCTGGCATGAGAGTGTGATACCAGCGTCCCTGATATATGATCAGCACCTGAAATGGTTTGTATTAGAACTGGAAATGCATACCATAGGTGCCTCGCTATGCTTTCTCCCGTCTCCTCCCAGATAGTAGTGATGGGTCCATCTGGCAGCTTGAACCGTCTTTCGACTAATTTCAGAGCATCTTGGTCCGACGCGAAAGGTGGGCTCCAGGCAGATACAACACCCCGAGCACCTTCTTCTGCTATGGCAGCAAAGTCATCGTGTGTTCGTTTCGGCTCCCCACCCACTCTTACTCGCAAACTGGAGTGAGAAGCTTGAGATTTAGGGAGCGGAAAAGTGATGGGCAGACTGCGCATACCGGCTGTCCATTGCACGGTCGACCATACTATCACGCTTTCTTCTGACCCATCTGTCGTTGCTGACAACTCTGCTGCTAGCTGGATGTTGTAAGGGAGAAAAGAATCTCCAAGGTCTGAAGTAATGGTAATCAGACAGTGGACTTGCTTTCTCGACGTGCCCTTTTCAGCGACTACGCGGGGACTTTTGAGGAAGCGGACGTATCGCATGGTTCATTGTAGGATTGGTCGGAAGGGGCGTGCCGAAAGCAGCAAGACTGTGGGGGTGAAAGGCTGGATTGATGTGGGGTGCTGGGACGGCTGGCGCAGGGCTGGGGAATCTGAACCTAGAGCGCCAACCGAGCCGCATCTCATCGACCACGTCGTCATACCTCAGTGTGTCAGCGTGAATGCGCCTGCTGTCCTGTTGAAGCCAATGCGCTGTCGCATCGCAGCACTCTGCTGCTCCACGCAATACCCACCCGCTTCCACTGAGTGCTAGTCACCGTCGTCGTCATCGTCACCATGTACCGTCGCAGCGACCCGCGGTGGAATCGCACGCTCCACCAGATCACAGAAAACCTCGAGCACGCAAACGAATCGGCGCAGGAGAACATCTACGGCTTCACGCAGCGCTATGTTAATCCGTGCTTCTCGTCGATAACCCAATGCGTCAACGCGTGCACGGCGCCATGCTTCCCAGCGCACAACGACCGCCGGCGCAATCGCGGGCGGTCACGAGGCCGGGCAGAAGTCAGCTTTGACTTCTACGACGACTGGGAGGACGATGAGAACGACGGCCTGCTGGGCTGGGGCAGCGACAACCTCGACCGCTTCCTCGGCGGCGCTTCCAATTATGGCGCAACATCGCAGCCTGGCCGACAGAGCGGCATGAGTTATGGACAGCGAAATCGCGACCCGAGATACAACACGCCGCGCCGGAAAAGCACGACGTTGCCACGAGATGGTGCCCAAGACCCGACTCTCATCCCGAGTTCCTCGTACTTTGGCTTCTTGGGCCGGTTGCCTTTCAAGATTGGCGGCAGAGGACTGCGATACAAGCCCTCGGCCGCAGACCTCATAGAGCACCCAGGCGCAACAAGAAGAAACCGTGAGGAGGAAGAGCCACTGATAGAGGACAGCGACGAGGATGCGCTCGACGGGCCCGAGAACAAAGGCCACCGCCGACAGCGAAGCAACACGCACACATCGGGCCACACAACCGACTCCCTCAGCTCGCGAGGCGACATCTTCCCCAGCGAAGACGAGCTGGAAGACGCCGTGCCCCTCGACGACGAATTCACCATCGCCCTCGAGCGCCGCACAACGGGCCAATGGAACGAAGACACGCCCAGCAGCAACAAGGCCCGCTCAAGCAAGAGCAAGCGCCCCTCCGCATCCCGCGTATCCACGCGCACGCTCTCCTCCCGCAACACAAGCAACTCGGACAAACCGCCCCTCTCCGCGCGCTCCGTCTCCGAAACAATCGAACAAGTTCCACCCACGCTCGACGAACTCTCCAAAGAAGAGGAACGTCTTCGTTTACAAGAGGAGAGGGAAGTCAGTCGCAAACGGCAGGAAGCGCAACAACTCGCCGTCAAGCGCGGTCTAGCGCCCGATCAACCTCTCTCGACCAAATCTAGTACGCCTCGTTCTGCGTCGCCAGCGCGACTTATGACAACAGTAGACTCGACTGTATCTCCGCTTGTACGCACGCCCGTTGGCGAGACTGCGCTGTCGATGGACCAGAGCGATGCGATTCCTTTCCCGAGTTTCGTAGATACGCAGACGATGCCGGATAGTAGTGCGTTCTATGTGGATGAGAGCGATTACTCGAGTAAGGCTGTTACGCCCAATCGGCCATTGTCTATTAAAGACGAGGTGAGAGAGGAAGACGAACGAGGGGGAGTTGGTGAAGAGCCATTCGTTCCGGCTAGGTTACCGCATTTTGGATCTGGATAGACACTGGAATAGACGGAGGGATAGATGGGGTTGCTATACGAAGGCATATATTGCACTGTTACAATGATGTATAACGGAGATATGAAGAGACGCAGCGGGTAGCATATGTTGTAATATAACAGTCTGAGCGATTCGATTCAATTCATCTTGTCAATATTACTATCAGTTGGCTAAAAGCCCATGTTGCCAAATGTAATCTGCTTCTTGGTCAACCCTTGGTATATCTCATCTAGCACGCCTCTCTTCCTCTTCTTATCCACCTCCTTCTCTTCCCGCTCCAATTGCTCGTCCTCGTCTGCTTCAGCGTCTTCTTCCGTTCGCGGCGTCCATGCCGCTATACTGCCATCGGCATGCGCAGAATACATCTCTACATGATGTGGCCGCCACGCTAGACTTGTGATTCTATCCTTGATATTGCGTTGTCCCTTTGCTGTTGCACCAGACGTACTAGGTGGATTGTTCGTCTGGGGCTGCTGTGAGCGGCGCAGACGGCGGATCAGCTTGCCGTCAAAGAGCTCGTAGCTAAGTATCTCATGCTCGTTGGGGTAGAACATGAGATCGGCACCTGGCTGGAGGTTCTGCGTGGGTGCAAGTACGGGGAGACGCGGCGCAAGCCCAGAGTTCTTGACCATGGGGCCGAAGTTTGCGAGGGTATTGGCGCCGGTATCCGTGTCCCAGACGCGTATCCGCGCGTCGTGGCCGCACGAGACTAGGTGTTTGCCGTCTTCTGTCCAGACGAGCCCGTTCACGGCGTCTCTGTGCGCTTGTGCGTTGGTAGGGTTGCGTGTAAACGACGCGGGCTTCCCTAGTATGCCGACTGAGTCCTCGAGATCCAGTACGCCCAGCTCACCGACGCTGCGGCGTACATCCCAGAAGCGTACACTGCCGTCTGTAGCTCCGCTCGCGAGAATGTGTTCGCGCACAGGGCTCCATGCTGTGGAGAGGATTGCGCCAGAGTGGCCCGCTAGACTGTGTGTGGTTGCGCCGGAACGCAGATCGACGAGACGGACGTTGGGGTGTTGGGTGGCGCATGCGACGAGAAGGTGCGATGCGATAGGCGACAGGGCGATGTTGTACACGACCGAGTCGAGATCGAAAGACGCTGACGTCGCAAGTGTTTCGCTGGAGTAGAGCTTGACGGTGTGATCGTACGAGGACGTGAGGAAGGCCAGAGAATCGAAGGGATAGAATTGCATCTGCGTAATGCCCAGCTTGTGCTCTTCGCTCGTCTTGTTCACTGCCGTCAGAGGCAGATATGTCTCTCCCGCCTCGGTTGCCGTGGTCTGCGCCTCGAGATCCCATACCGCGATGGAGCTGTCGGCACCTCCAGAAAGCAGATATCGTCCTTCGAACTTGTCGATTGTCAGCGCGTTTACTCCGGATATATGCGCCGGTATGCGCTCGCGTGGGTTGTCGGGAGCCGGTAGGTGCTGACTGAAGGTCACGGCGGAAGACGGTTGCAGCGCGTAGATAAGACGGGAGGCATAGGCGCGCTTGAGGACATGGTTGGGAATGAAGCCGTACGCGCGGTCGAGCACGTGTTGGGCGTTCATATGCGACTACATGCTTCGTGTGTGTTGGAGCGAGGGAAAGAAGAACCTTGGAAGGCGCAGAGGGTTCCAAGGTTATGACGTTGTAGCCTGGCGTCCACACGCGACAGGGATCTGCAGTCGCAACACATTCACCAACGGGCGCTCAATCCTTGCAAGCGAGCCGCGTACCTTTGCACTTCGCCTTACCTTAGCACAAAACCAACGACAACCATTCCGTAGCTATCTTGCATGGCTACTGTCAAGAAAAAGCTCAAGATTAAACGCACGAAATTTCGCAAGCGCCGATCCACCGTCTACGATGCCGTCAAACGTAAGAGACGCCCAAGTTCATCATCAAAACAGTTGATCTAAGAATATCTAGGCAGAGTCGCCCGAACTGGTCTGATTCACAACATCTCTGATCCCAAGGCATCCAGGAAACCACTTCGGCCAGACGAGGTACTCTTCAAGCGAAAGAATGCGCCCATCCGATACGAGGAAGATGACTATTATCCCGCTCACAACAAGTTACCTCCAGACCAAAAGCTACCCAGTGGAGATCTGGCTACCGCAATGAAAGCCTACGTCGAGAGGCTGTGGGTCAAAACTGGACGACGCCGCCGCTTTTCGCGCAAGCTCATGCGAAGGACGTGGAGAGGCCTGAACGAAACCGCGCTCATTGCTCTGTGCATCCTGATGGAAGAAACGGCGCGCGATGCGCTGGGTGAGACAGGAGATTTGGCTTTTACCGAGGCCGCTGAGGAACATGAACATGAAATTCTCACGAGTCTGAAGAAGGCGAAGAGGGCGAAGAAGAGTGGTGCCCAGAAGCAGGGTTCTGTTAAAGAAAAGGAGCAGCCAAGTGTTGATAAAGAGAAGCAGCCGGTTGAAAAAAAGACAGGGAAGCATGTGACGTGGGTGTCATCAGATGAGGAGTCGTCGTCGACGTCGTCGTTTGATGACTCAGAAGAGTCGGACGACTTTGAAGAGGATCTGGATTGAGTATCACAATACGCGGAATGGCGAAGCTCAGGAGTGAAAAGGTTTCATCTCGACCTGGAGTCAAAAGATTCGCAAGGAGGACTTGATGGGTCAAAGATGATGCCATATGTGTATCACCGCCTTGTAGGCCCGTTTGAACGCACACCTCTGATCTTCACGCCGTAATATTCAAGTTCTACTGCAGAAAGGAGATTACCGGGTGTCGTAGATGAGTGCCAATAGTGTTGATGCGATCGGGTTCTAGCTGGGCTGAGGTCGTGCCTGCCTCCTACCACAACCAGGGACCTAGCGTGCCTTCCTTCAAGCGGGAGAAGACGCGATCAAAAGCGCGCTCAAATCTCGCGACCTTAGTATTAACACGATCGCCACGGCTATCGCTCCTCGGTCTTTATTGCTACTTCACTTCCGCTGCAAAAGCATTCGTCTTCTCAGTCGGGCGAAAATGGTCAGTTCAGACATGATTCCCACTCGAGCACTCACTCACACTAGCAGGCACCCAAAACTCAACCTAACCCGCAGAAGGCGGCATCCATTCTTGCCTGGTTCCATAAGACGGCGCAGGCTCATAGCATCAAGGACCTCGAAAAGACGCTGCCACAAGTCTCCTCCATCAACGGCATGCAGGTCAAGGACTACCTCCAAGCACTCTCAGACGACAACAAGATTCGTGTCGAGAAGATTGGTAGCGGCAACTGGTACTGGAGCTTCCCAGCCGACGAAAAGAAAGCCAAAGATGCTGCTCTCAAGAAGGCCCAAGAGGAGTTCGACAAGGCCACCGCTACTGTAGCCGAACTTCAGGCGAAAGTGGATGATGCAGGTGCAGCTCGCGCTGATGACGAGGAGATGCTCATGGAGACAGGTAATTACCAATCTGCCATGCTTTGCACTCATGCTCATCACTCGCAGGTGGCGACCGCAAGACACTGATTACGAAGCATGCCGACCTCACCAGAGACCTCGAGAAGCTCAGGACTGAGCTAGCCGCGTACAGCGAGCAAGACCCCGTCGAAATGGAGAAGAAAGCCACCGAAACTCAGCAGGCTCATCTTGACGCTGAGAAGTTTACCGACCAGATTTACGCCATGCAGGGCTGGGTTAAGCAGACTATGTGTGGTGGCAGTGGAGGGCACGAATACCTGGAGATACTGAGGTCCTTCTACCAGGATGAGTTTGATGAGGAGGAACTGGGCTTACGTGAATTGTGAAACTCGGGAAGTCTGTGGAGTGTGTTTTCGGAGTAGCCATCGAGGAGGCTACAACGTGTCTGTGCAGGTATAGCGGTAAGGCATAACTACGGCCATACAGACAATATAGTGTACAATCATTTCGACTCATTCGAGCGACTGCTGCGCCATGTTCGGTCTGGCAGTGCTTGAGTCATGTTTGAGCATGGGCCATCTCCAGGGCTAACAGCTTTCGCTTGTGAAGGGCGTCATCGCAAGTAGCTTTCGCCAAACTACCAACAAAGGCCTACCGTACAAAGAGGCCTCGCCCGCCTGCCTCTGCCTGACCATTCATTTTCGCACAACTGTCTGGAATCGTGCATACCGAAAACCCTGTATACTGACCCCCTAGACCCGCAACAATACCCCGCGATGGCCTCGACAGGCGCCCCAGAAACCCCGCAAGTTCCTGCAAGCCCGCAACGGAGAGGGGGAAGAGGGCGTGGGCGCGGCAGAGGTGCACACGGTGGAGAAGATGGCCACGAGAACTTCGGAGGGCGAGGCCGAGGACGGGGCGGCTTCCAGAGCCGCGGGCGAGGTCGCGGCAACAGAGACGGCGCAGGCACTCGCGGTGGACACGCGCCGGAGAAGGGCAAGGCGCCTGCCATAGACACAGAAGAGAGCGGACACGCTCCACCGACTCTCTTTAAGCCCAACCTCCAGCAATCGGACAACGAAGACGACGATGCTGAAGTCTGCTTCATTTGCGCCTCGCCCGTTCAGCACACAGCCGTCGCTCCTTGCAACCACCGCACATGTCACATCTGCTCCATCCGAATGCGGGCCTTGTATAAAACAAAGGCCTGTGCACATTGTCGAACCGAGTCGGACCACGTTATCCTCACAGACGACGCCGAGAAGAACTACGAGGACTTCTCCACCGCTGAGTTTTTCAAATCCGACGATACCCTGGGCATACACTTTGAGAACTCCGGCGTGTTTGAAGACGCGCGATTGCTTTTACAGTACAACTGCCCCGACGGCGAGTGCGATGTAGCCTGTCTAGGCTGGCCGGACCTGCATCGTCATGTCAAGACGGCGCATGGAAAAGTCATGTGGTGTGTACTCTGCAGTTCTGAACAAATGATACTGGCTAACATTATAAAGTGACCTCTGTACGCGGAACAAAAAGGTCTTTACCCACGAGCACGTCCTATTCACGATGGCCGAGCTACGACGGCACCAGAAATTTGGCGACGACAATCCTGGAGCAATAGATCAAAGCGGATTCAAAGGGCACCCGGAGTGCGGTTTCTGCAACCAGCGTTTCTACGGCGACGACGAACTATACACCCATTGCAGAGACAAGCACGAACGCTGCCACATTTGCGACCGCCGGGAGGGAGGAAGCAGGAAACAACAATACTACGTCAACTACGATTCGCTCGAGGTGCACTTTCGGAAAGACCATTTCCTCTGCCCAGATCGAGAGTGTCTAGAGAAGAAGTTCGTTGTGTTCGATTCTGAGATGGACCTCAAGGCGCACCAGTTGGAGGTGCATCCCAACGGTCTTTCCAAGGACGCTTTACGGGATGCCCGGAGAGTCGACATGTCTGGCTTCCAAATCAGGGCGCCTCACGAGCAAGGTCAGGGCAACAACAGGCGAGACGAGCGCAGACGCGAGGGTGGCAGAGGCCGTGGACGCGGACGGGATCCGAACGCTGAGCCAGTGCCTGCGTCCTCTGCGCAGCCCTTGAGCAGAGCAGAGCTTGCTTACCAGCGGCAGAGAGAGGCTCAGAACACTCATTCAGTAACAGGAAGAACTTTTGGGGGCCAGCTCTCTGCACCAACTCCAGGCGAGGCGTTCGCTGCTAGACCTCCTCCAAGCGCCTCAGAGCCTCCTACCGTCACTGCGTCGCGCCCAACCCCAGCGGCTGCCAACAATATCACGAATGGTGTCGCTCAACTAAGCATGGACACACAACCACCCAATCCGGTTCCACAGACACCCCAGGACCAGGCTAGACTGTTGCGTCACAACGCAGTTACGGAACGGGCCACAAACATGCTTCGGGGTAGCGAGATCAAGCTGCAAGAGTTCAGAGCCGCGGTATCGGCCTATCGCAACTCGAAGGTATCCGCGCCACAGCTCATCGACGGGTTCTTTGCGCTATTCGACGCCAACTCGAAAGAGATGGGGAAGCTGATCAAAGAATTGGCGGACATCTTCGAGATGCCAGGCAAGCGAGAAGCTCTATTGAAGGCTTGGAATGATTGGAAGGCTATCAACGAGGACTATCCATCATTACCTGGCTCTGCGACAGGCTTGAACGGCGCATCGACTGCGCGAGGAGGTTCGCGGGTACTGAAGCTGAAGAGCTCAACAGCGCAATCCTCTCGATCCACAGCCAACCAGCAAGCCAGTTGGTCGAACGCATCGTCGAGCAACCCATTCCCAGCCTTGCCAGCGCCTTCAGGTCGTGTCGGTGCGAAGCCCGGACAAACGCCGTGGGCCTCCTCATCTGCCGCAACGAGCGCGCGCCCCTCGCCCATGCCATCGCGAGTCGCATCATCAACAAACGTAAATAAGAAGCCTGCTGCCGCAGACGCCTTCCCAGCTCTCCCCGCAGCAGCGAAACCTACCAGCACAATCTTCAGCCCCGGCTACACTGGTCACGGTCTACGACGCGACAACAGCGGACGCAACACTCCAGTGAGTAACCCTTGGGCTGGCCCATCCGGCACGAACAGCAGTACATCAACACCGGCTTTGGAGGATGCAGGAGCGGCAGGGAAGAAGAAGGGTAACAAGGGTAAAAAGCAGACACTCTTCCAGTGGGGTTAGTGGGCATAATGTTGAATTCCTGTTATAAGTAAATCATACAGATGTCTACATTGCCTCGGTGTTTCGTCTTTGTCTGTTTTTGGAGTGATGTAGGCTTCATTGCGCCTGTTGACTTTCCTCCATGCATAAGGTGGGTTCACTGATAACATAGCCTGAAGGTATCAATGTGTTGTAGGTTGTGTCGTCATTCAAGAACACCGTGTACACCTTCAGGGTGCATCATACATCACTTCATTTGACAGAACATTCACAACAGCAGTAGCAATGAGAACGTGTAATTTGATGATTTGTCCATTTGCGATACCTACAGAAATTCGCTCGCAACGTATTGATAGAAACCTCCGACGACGCCAAAATCCCAAAACGCCAACCCAGATCATGCATCCATCATCCGTAACCTGCCAACGGCCATGCCATCAACCCCTATGCCTCTCACCCAGCTCTCACGCATCCTCATCAAACTCAGCCTGGTTAGGCACCTTGGGGCCATCTTTGCGAATGGGGATCTTGATACCCTGCTGCGCAAAGCACTTGCTGAGCTTGGTGCTCTCAATGACACCGGGGAACTTCTTGGCGGAGTAGACAGTGAAGGGCTCTGTGAAGTTGGAGACAAGGCAAGGGCCTTTACCTTTGCTGCCGTCGTTCATGTGAATCGTGCCGTTGGTGCCGTCGTTGGAGCCAATGTCGAAAAGGCTGAGCTTCAGCCGGAATGTGCCCTCGGTGCGCACGCTCAGATCCTGTAGTACGAACCAAAAGCCGGGTTTTTGGTCGAGATCTTGGAGGCGGCATGCATTTACAGCGTTCATGCCAATGAGATTGCGGGTGTGATTCGAGCCCATGGGTGTTGCGGGAATCATTGTGTTTGTCATCTGCACGGGGGGCTGCCCGTACATGTTTTGCGGCATGGGGTAGCCCGGTGGTTGGGCCTGCCAGTATCCCTGGGGCCCTGGAACGGGGTTTCCGCCGTACTGGACCATGTGCTGCTGCGGCATGCCACCGCGGGAGTCGTACTGAACTTGGGCTGTGAACATGTGGTGTGTTCGCTCGGGCGGCGGAGGGTATGATGTGGTGGTGCTACTTGATATCGACACGGTCGGCGCCGCGCTACTGTGTCTCACTAGGTTGACGGCATTGACTCCCTGCGCGTCGTAGAGGTCGACCATGAGCACGAAGTAGGTGCTGTCGATGTCGTTGAAGGGGACCTCTTGTCCCGTGTGGGTGTCGTAGACGACCAAGCGGACGCAGGGCGGGGGTGTGATCGGCCTTCGATCCTTGTCACCAAAGCCGCACATGCGGGCTCGGATCGGTTGTTGTTCAACAACCAAGTCGTATTTCCTGGTGGGCTTCGCCATGGTCTGCTGTTGCTGAATTGGCTCTGGGCGGCCAGTGCTAGTCCTGGTGTAATTATTGTAAGACATTTTGGCGTTGTGATGTTGGTGTCTTGGTGTTGATTGGATGTGGGTGAGAGATGTTATGGGTAAGATTAACGGACGGGCGTGCACAAGCTATATACTCTCCCAAGATTTAGGCGATGCGGAAGTGCGCCACGGGCCAACGCTACCTACAGACTCACCACTACAACCATGGTTCAGTATCGAGACATTACCCTTGCAAACGGCCATCAAATCACATTCACTGATGATAACTCAATGCGAAAAAGCCTCATGGAGTCATCGGGTAGGATTGAAACGGGAATGTTCCTATAGGGCCACGCAGGTGAGGGGGACCACAGCTGCGGGTCTCAGCCATGATCGGCGTTAGTCTCCGGCGCTACCTCACCCATGGGACACCTCATACACGAAAACGTCTGCAGACTACATCAAGACAAAAACCCGCAAAATGGGTGACTAACGTGAACGTAGGCTCCAGGGTGTTCAGTTTTTCTTGGGTTATGCAGACTACACCAAGACAAGAACGCGCAAAGTGGATGACTAACGTCGACGTCACCTGGGCAGGTTAACAGGGGACGCGCACTTGTATAGGTAGCGCATAATCTGTATGTTTGCAGACTATATCAAGACAGAAACCTGCAAAGTAGGTGACTAACGTTAACCTAGGCTCCAGGATATCTTTTCTTATTAGGTTGCCCAGGTGACGTGGGACGCGCACTCGCGTAGGTAGCGCATCATCTGAATCTTTGCAACACCCGATTTGTGGTTTGATCAGTATCTTGTCCGTCCGCAATGGTGACCATACCACGTATCTACAATTTGTTATTTTCCAATCACGTGTTACGTCCCAATCCCATATGAGTCAACCAGGTGTGTGCGCCCCTTTCCCCTAATATTGGCTGCACTGTTCGCTCGGCTACACATTCGACCACGCTCAGCCACAGTACGAAGCAGGCTGAGCAACGTTTTGATGGACTGTTGTCTAGCCATCTTTCGCACTCGAAGTTGAAGCATCTCATCCAATGCACAAACTGGACACGTGCCCTGAAGACTACGTGGGTGTTCAACGCACCAGCTGCAAAATCTTCCCGCAATGTAGACTTCTACGTGATTTACATCGATCATCTGCTGTGTATAAAAGCCAAGTAGGGAGAGTTTCTTTGAGAATCCCATGGCTTAGGTTCTACTTGACAAGATACCAAAGGAATTTGTCAATCGAGGGGAATGTCAGGAAGCATTTGGGCGTCCGCGCGACTGGATGATGGAATATCGAGCAGCTTGGAAGCTTTACTATAACTAAGCAGTTCTACAGTGGTAACATGTTATATGTCATGACCACCTCGTACGCCACACGAAAATATGTTCCTCGGTGAACTTTCAGTAGTCGTGGCGTAGTAGCTTGGTCGTGAACAAGCACACCCGGGCAATGTTCAACTGTACGGCGATACCATTCTGACGAACAGCCAGCGCCGACTTCGAAGCCTTTTGGAACCTTAACTTTTGATACTATCGCACAACCTGGGACCTTGAACGCCCGTGTCGAGAACGTCAGAAGGTGTAGTTTGCAGCCTGTGCATCTAGATGGCCTGAGGCATTCGGCTCTCGTTGAGTTCTCTAGCAGACAAGGTCCATGGTACAAAGCGGAAGATGTAGTATTCAAAAGGGGAAAGCATGTAGCATTCGAGTACGGGAGAGACCTCACTCACGCGAGACTTTCAACTCACGAGGAAGGTGCTTTGTCTTAGGTTGTTGCTATCATCTATTGTAAAAGAGAAACTGCGTGCCTGTCAAGGTAATTAGAACATGCTATTTCTTAATACTATATACGATCAAGATGCTATCTACTGGATACTAGATACTAAACAGTACCCATGAATTACGCTAAATCTACGTAGTGAGTCTTCCAAGCACGACACTTGAAACTCAAGCTCAGTCCTAGACAGAACGTGTGCACACAGATTTTGATGATCCCACATAAGACTCCCATTCCAACTGCCATCGTTTCTAGACTCTGATAATAGGCGTCGTGGAGATCTCCTTCCAGTGCCTCACCTTGGGTCCAGCTAGTGTATGCAGACGTTTCCTTCGGAATTTCCGTTATGCAGGTGCCATTGAGCGGAGCTTGCAGTATAATCATCCGCAACTATGTTAAGGCAGTTTTCCGACGTCCGGGAACGATACGAAGAGGTTGTGATACACAGCATCAAGGTTGCTGATTAAGACGTCGAAACGTATCGGATCTGTTGAGAGATTGTCGTACCGAGGACAAAGGATCCATAAGGATAGTTTCGTGTTGTGAACGCTGCAAGTCTTCCACTTCGATATCGATGAAACGGCGGAGATCCTGTAGTGTTGTCCTACCCATGTCTGGGCATACGACACAACGGCACGAGGTTCACTTGGTACGTGATACTACGGGCGGAGTACTGTTCGTACGCGAGTCGAGATCCGCATGTCAACCCGTCAGGTATAGACTGCCACTTCACCCGATATTATGCTTGTCCATCTCTTCATCGATCCAGCTCCCCCGCTTGACTCTAACCCGCCTCCTCCACTTATCCTGATCTTCCTGCTGCCCTCGCGTCTCCCACCCAGTCTCACCATTCGCCGGTTCCGCATGCGTAACGTTCGGACTGATGCGTCGGGGATCTACAAAGTCGGGGTATTGCGATCCGCCAAAATCGTGCGTGAGCAGGCTGCCGTTGAGTCTCGCCGATGCGCCCACACTCGCTGTACCACTTTGTGTCTTTTCCAGTGTCAGGGTATTTCGGCGTTCGAAGCTGTTACCGCGTGCGTAGGCGTTATTCATGCTCTGATCGGATTCGGCTCGGACGCGCACGAGTTGGATGAGTTTTCCCAGGACGGCGAATTCGAGTTTGAGTTTGATGGAGTATACGACGCCTTTCAGGGTGGTTTCAATGAGGTACAGGTTGGCGAATTCGACGCTGAGCAAGGCAATGTCCATGGCGATGATTAGTACGTTGATAGTGAGGAGCTGGTACATTGTCTTTCGAACGTTTGTGTTCTTGAGGTGCCCGTGTGATTGGTTTCCAGCGCTGTCGTCGAAACTGCGTACGTCGTCTTGTACCGTTTCCGAGAGTTTCAGTAGTCGCACCGTCTCCTTGATGTATACTATGGACAGTATGGTTTCTTGCACGAAGAAGCACACCATCTGCACTTTCTCCATTATCGAGTATCCGCGGACGAAGCGACGCAGCGTAGCATCGGAAAGCGAGTTCGAATTGGAACCGAAGGTCAAGACGGTCGTAACTGAGTGGAGCAGTACGCCATTGACGATAATCATGTAGAGAGTCCAGCGAAGGACTCGGCGCGAGTTCGTAACGAGATGGAGACGCGACCATAGAACGACTGATTGCCCTAGACGTTGTTAGTAGCCGCATGCTGAAGACCCCCAGCGTTGACTGAACTCACCAGTGATCATGGGATACCAGCCAAGCGTGAGTAAGACGACGCCGACATATCCAGCATTTGCCGCAGGGTCCAACAAGCGGAAGAACTTGATGATGAAGCCCAGCGAGTATGGTATGATGCCGAATGCGCTGATGACGAGCGACCAGAAGTACAACCCATGGTAGCGCTGGAAAGTGA